CAGGTTTCAGAGGGAGATCTGCAGTTCTGCAGGGATTCGAGGAAGACCAGGGTTTTGCTTGGCTTCAACGATAGCATGCCGGGAACCTCCATGAAAGCTCGCACGTGGAATGTGTATTCAAGGTTTAGAGTGTGAGATTCTGGGCTTCAGGGGTTGTGAGGGATATTTTAAACACACAGGGGTACTATTGAGGGCTTGCATGCCGCTGCAAAGCTCTTCAGGGACCAGCTGCAGCTGGCAGGAAGTCAATTGGGACATACATTTCTGTCCAAGACCTCCGCGGAAGACTTGAGATGGCTTGGATTTGAGATGAAGGTTTCGAAGGCCCCACGCTGCGCATTTAGAAAGACCTCCTTGCCAAGAAGGCATTCTTTCACGCAAAAACAAGCTTGACGACATCTTCAACATCCTACTTGTCCTCAACTGCCAGAGAAGCCCTTGCACCCATACATCGAAGAGAGCCCTGAAAAGGTTTGAAACTCATCCATACTTTAGCTCCTAGTGGTGTCCGTAATGATATGTAATCGCCGTGCAATACACGTAGTGATTCCCAATTTCCACTTGAGTGCTCCGAACATTAGTTAGCACTCCGACATGCATTGGGGCCTCGGATTGTTGAAGTTCCCCGGCGCAGAAGGAATTTGTAGGGTGCAGCGGCTCTTCACCACCAAGGCCCCACCATTTCAACTCAATGCCTCAAGACCTCCAAGGTAAGCTTCAAGATTTTCAGTTCCAGGCGAGGTCCGGAGAACGATTTCTCATTAGATCGCTCACTTAAGCCGGCCAGGCAGTCACGCCCGGCAGCTCCCATCAGTCAATTGCCCAGCACCAACCCTCATTGAACTAAACGGAGCTGCCAACCGAATGAGATGGGTGAGTTTGGTCTGCAACAGAAAGCCCAGAGGCATACTTCAGCAGGACAGACCAAACCTAAACCTTAGACCCCGTATTGTTCATAGGCATAGGCCCCAAGAGCTGCGAAGCGGCAGTGGGTCCAAATTGATACCCTTAGAGAGTGTCTTTGCAATCCTTTTACGCTCAAATCCCTTCAGCATCCCTTACGGCTTTCTTAAACTTACATACCTACTCACACACATATATATATAGACCATCTGTATGAGTGTTTTCTCCTAAGAGTATTTTCTCTTCACAAAGGTGCAGACTGGGGAAGCCTGGACCCTCCGAAGTGCCGCGCGCGAGCCAACGGAGCGGACCTACCCGCAGAGGCTTAGCCGGCATGTAGTTTCCACGCGATTTAGGGTTTAGGGTTTCCCAAAATAAAGCACAAAATGCTATCATCCTTTTTATCAGCGCCATCAAGAAGGCAGCCCTCTTTTCCAGAAACTGCTAGCTTGTGTTGAGCAAGGGAATCGAAGGAGGGGGGCTAAGGGAATGCTAAGGCATTGAGATCTACGGATTGCAGGGTGTGTAGATAAGGATTTGGGGATTGCGGTCTATAGGTATGGGTTTTTAGGGATTACAGGATTTAGGGACTGGGGCATTCCATGTAACTCTAAAGGAGTATTTTTCTAAGATTGCAGGGTCTAGTAATCCCTTCCTCATATTAATAAACCGCCCCCTAATAATAAATAATAAATCCGAGACCCTAAAAATTCCTCATGAGCATTTTAAAAGGGGCTGTACTAATGTTGAAAGGAGCCAGACCATAATGAATTAGGGGGGTTTTGAGGTCATTAGCGGGGTATAATAGAAACTCCAAAGGAATTAGGGATCCGCTTGAC